AAAAAATTCTATAAATTTCATCTGGGTCAAAAAGATGCCTTCTCAACCAAATGCCGCTTACCTCCCTAATCTTGTCCACCTTAGTCAAAAGGGCAGATCCCATACCGCAATGTATCGAAAATGGTTTCGGACACCCCATATTGACATCTATAGCTGCCACATCTGTACCTCTGCATGGAACTTTGATAAATAACCAAAATATGGTAAAAATAATAAGAGCAATGCTAACACCATTTTCGCAACTTCAGCTGCGTTGTTTCCGCTATTTGTTCCAATTTGGAGAACACAGCACTTTTGTTCCCGAGATCTTGATATTCGGAGAACAACATCATCAACCATACAGTAGTCTATCGTGTCCAAGACGTCTTAAAACCTTGGATGGTACTCTCACATTACTTTCACATTCCCTATTACTCTGCACATCTAAGAATTTTTAAAGGCCAGACTAAAGCAACCGAAAAATTGAAAACTTCAACCACTCACTATTAACCGTTCGTTTGCTAGTTAGGAGCTTTTGGTCAATAATTTCTTCGGTATACACTAGATCTGCTCCATAATCCAAGGCGAGAACCCTAAAACGTGTAGCCACTATTTTTTGAATAGAAGTGCACTAATTAGGTTTGATATGCTGTATCCGCGGCAAGATGACCTATTTAATGAATCCACTTTGACTTTTCGTGTCCATTTCTTTCTTAATAGGGAAAATGGTGAGGAAGGGGATAAAATGAGGCCTGCTAGCCATCGGTAAAGTCTAACTACTTGAACTTTGTATTCGTCATGAGATGTTGAAGGCAGCGTCCAGTCAAATTTGGACCTATGGGGCACTAACGTGGAAAGCAATCTTGAGGCCATAAATAAGACTCCGCTCAAGCGGCAGCACAGATAGTGCTGCCGCTCGGCCAAGATATTGGCCTCCAAACTGGATCCCGGAATCGTAATACGCATAGTTTCATGGCTCTTCACATCAGTTTCGCGTGGACACTCGCGCGCAACTGATATGTAGTGCCATGAAATGCGAAATACGATTCCGGGCCCATTTAGAGGCCAATATCTTAGCCGTGAGTGCACTATCTAAGCTGCCGC